CGGGGTTTCATCTTTTCAGGAACCGGTTACCTTTCAGATCACCGACGAGCATATCCATACGGTAAATTAAAATTACTTTGAAATACTGATTAGTGTCGCGAAAGCTTTCAGAGTTTCCACGACCAGTATTTGAATCAAGGATTATTTTTTTCATAAAACAGCTGAACGACAAGACTTCCCGTTTGCTAAAAGCCCCTCGAGGCGATTCTACAACCGGTGTTATTGTTTGATCGTTTCGGGACCCTTTCTGGAACAGGGAAATTAGTGTATGGAAACACACACGCTTAGAAAATTATACACATATTTTGGCGCGAGTTTCATCTTTTTGCATTGCTAGTGTGGCTGTATTAATCAAACAAGCCTCTCGGTTAGTTCAATTTGCGTCAAAATGGTTATTAATTAATCAAAAGGTAATTTATGGAAAATGAAAAACGACTGCGGCGCTCTGATGAAGGAATATTCGAGAAAGAAGTTGCTACAGTGAATGTCGACCTTAGTTCACAGCTGTTGAGTTGAACGTTTTTTAAATCAATGGGAAATAAAATTTAAGAAAGATAACAAACACTCCCTGTTCGTCTAATAAGTCCGTTGCGCGAGTGGACTTCTTTTCCAGCTAAATCACAGGTAGCCCAAGCTCGCAAAATTACGCTGCTCAATGGGTGAGATGTAAGGTTTTAAATGGGAATATACTGTCGCTTTCTCACCTGAAATTCTGACCTAGTTTTGAATAAAAAAACAAACTTACTCGCTTAAGTGCTTGTTCCTTTTGATATCGTGTGGATTTTTTAAGTTGACGCAGGGCCGTTCCGCTCGGTCTTACCGAGTTCATTTGCTTTGCCCTCTCTATGTATGGAGGTTCATTTTGCGAGCTGGGCTACCTGCGGCTAAATCGTTCAAAATTCTTTCGTTACAGAAAACAAAATTCAAGTTCACAGTTTCTCTGGAGGTAGACAAAACATACTGTTACAACAGGGTTCTCCATTATGCTAATTCCAGTCCACAGCTTGAATTGAGCATTGCTTGGTTCAAACAGGATGAAAAACAAAACAAACCAAACAAAACCGGCCATCATCAAGATTAAAAAATAAATGCCATCTGAGCGGATCTTTTCAATTGAGATCAGGCAATATTTTGGATAATAGAAACGATAAACTTAACATCAGGGATAAACCATTTTGCTTTTGTGCAGCAAAAGCAGGCTTTAGAATTGTTTTCCTTTTCACCAGTTCATATTTTTTATTCACTTGAAAATAATTATGTTCTTGATTTCTTTACCTGAAACACCAATCCCCCCTCTTTCTGGATGAACCTGAGCTATGGCTTCTAAGGAGAACTTAGGGGCGAATAATTCTTCCCTAAAATATATGTTCCACCACTCAATCTAGGGATTGCAGGGAGTAGATTAATCAACAAAGTATACCATTTCAGTATTTTGACTCATGAAAAACGGTTTCGATCTGGACTGGAAGCATTCCTCTCAGTGTGAAGGTTTCCAGTGACCAGTCTGCATGCGTGGTACAAACAATTTTTGTGAATGCAATCATAAATATTTTGTAAAAATATGCTCCACATGCCCCCAGATTTGAAATTTCTTGACTGATATTTCTCCCACATAGTGCTGAATTGATAAAACTTAGCATTGAATTGATACAGCTGACTGACTTCCTACATGTACACACTGGTCCAATTAAAAGTGTCCCTACCTTGATTATCTGTACTCATGCCAATGCCAGATTTAAAACTTCTTGACTGATATTTCTCCCAAATAGTGTTGAATTGATAAAACTTAGTATTGAATTGACACAGCTGAATGACTTCCTACACACAACCCACAATTCCTCTATTTGCTCTGACGAAGGGCTAACACTCGAATCGTCAGCTTTTAAAATCGTAACGGTGGTCAATTTACCATTTCAACTTTGTTGATATATTCAAATTATTTCGTTACTCCCACTGATGCAGCCCCAAACAGTTTCTTTAGAAACCATCAGCCTGACTTCCTACATGTACACACAGGTCCAATAGGCCATTTTACAGTTGTGTACTTAGTTGCCAAGCCTTTGATTCAGAGTGAGGCTAAAGATGACCTTGTTGTGATAGAGACCTGTATCTAGTTAGCATGATAACAAAGAGATTTACATTTGAAAGGCAGCAAGGTTTGTATCATAACAAGGTCATCTTTAGCCTCACTCCCATTCAAAGGCTTGGCAACCAAGCACACAACTGTAAAATGGACTATTAACAGTTTCCCTACCAATGTATAGTCAAACCTTGATTATCTGTACTCGTTGGGACTAGATGACATAATTGAGGTCCAGATAATTGAGGTTCAACTGTACCTTAACAGGTAGACAAAACATTTTATCAAAAAGAGTGTAAGAATTTTGAATGACACAGTTCCAACACAGGTTTACATAAATATACCCTCATAGGTTCTTTCAGAATAAGTAACAAATTCACACCTTGGAAACAAAGGATTTTAATTAACTCTCCAAGAGTTAAAAAATATCTGTAAACGAGCCTGAGACAGACCCTTGCATGTAGGAATGCCTGCCAGCAGAATGGTTACCTGGAGAATTTATGTTTTTCTAGTCAAATCAATCCTTGTTTGAAATTTCATTTACCAGTACTTTTTTGAAATGCCTTCAATATTGACCCTTTAACTGCCAAGATTGACCATGACAGAATTTCTCTTTACACTATCAATACAATATTAAGCAGAAAAGTAATGGGAATAAAGATTTAAAATATCGATTGGAGAATTTGATCGTTGACCCAAAGTCTTTGAACTAATATTAAAGGATCATATGGTAAACACTCACAGTAAGAAGATCAACTTATGTGATTGTGGGAGTGAGAGGTTTTAACTTTGGGGTTCATAATAAAGTTTAAGGATAGAAAAATACAATTCGAACAAAAGATAAAATTGGGTGAAACAACTGTTATGAATGCATGCTTCATTTTCAAGCAGAATGGTAATACTTACGAAGAATGAACTGAGTAAAGACTGCATGAATCAGTTCTGCTAGGAATAAACTGTAGGATTCTTTGCATGATTGGACTGAACTTCAAAAGAACTCACAATGCAAGTTACAGTTCCACCGAGTCATGACATGGTCTTTTATGAAAAAGGAGAAAAGACTATTCAATTGGTTTTTGTCTCCTACAATGATACAAAATAACGAGGAGCTGAACAACAGAATAGATGGAGAGCTGTGCAAATTGGATTGCTACCATGTGTAAAACTCGTTTCCCCTGATATAGCACTTCTGATTGCAGAAGGCCTTCTGCCAGCACTTTCCTGCCAGAAAATGTCCTGGATACATTCAGATCTCAGTGATTTATACCATTGAGTTGCTTCCGTCTCCTGCTAATCTATCAACAATCTGTGAATCAAAATGTAAAAATATCACATTACAAAATGTTAGGAATAATTTGTTCAAGTGGTGATTTCATCCTATTACATGTCATTTTAACTGAATTTAGATGCGTCAAGGCTGTGCTCTAAGGAAAATTGAATGGAGCCCAGTGCTCTGTAACTGTGAAATCTAGGCCAGCACAAACTTTTTCCTGAGTTGCCCAAGAGCAAAAGCAAGGTGCCAGGGGCCACTGGGCACTCCTAGATCACAGCCTTGGTGTGTGTTAAAACATTTGTAAATGTAGCTACTGTTCAAGACAGATGAATGTATAACAAGCTACAAAATAAAAAACTGACTAATTTAAACAAGCCTAAGAGTAGAGAATTCGTCTCAATAAATTTTGTATCCAAGCAAGAAAGTGGCAAAGAATTCTTATTCAAAGACTATTCTTAAAATTTACATCTTTCCTATTTACATGTCGCCAAAAAAAATTCACCAAATGAAAGTCAAAAGTTCAGTTTGCAAAGGTTTTCCTTTTGCAGAGTCATATCTCAATGGTGAATGATTTTAGGACATTGTCTAACAGGCACCATAATTTACATCTCCAACTAGTGTATAAAATTGTAAATGATTATCACTATCCCAGGCAATTTCAAGGATATTTTGCATTTAGATCAGAACTTTGCCATAAAGCCCTCAGAGATAGTAAGGAACTCCATCTTCCAAAATACAAAACAGCTATGGGCCAGTCAACATTCGAGTATGCCACTGCAAAGGAATGGAATGAATTCCCCAAAGAACTACGTGCTTGTGAAATGCTGAGAATTTTTAAAATTAAAACTTTTAAACTTCTATTAGAATCAGATAAGGCACAACACAAATGTAGTGTACAAGTTTTTTTATCAATGTAAATAGTTTTTGGCAATTTTCAATTTGATCTTTAACTTGTATTGATGGTGAATTGTATTTTTAATGGCATTTTTTGCACTGATCACCGGCTTATACCAGCGTTTTTTATGTTGAATTCACTGATCGGTTTTTTCAGTTTAAATAAAGCATTATTATTGCTGTTATTAATTGAACCGTCTTCAAAATTCCATATTTTTCTTTCCTATTTAATTTACCATAAGCTCTGAATATAGTCCTCAATGGAACAAAAAGAAACAAACAATTGAAAAAAAAAAGTTTCCTGATTCTATCTTTGCGATGAATATATGAAGTTCATATATTTTGAACTGCGGTTATAGATACGTATGATGCACGATCCTCACAAGNCTGATTTTCGCTATTGCTTAAATAGCGCTATCTACTGCGAGGATCGTGCATCATACGTATCTAATACCGCAGTTCAAAATATATGAACTTCATATATTTCATTGTATCTCATTTATCACTTTCACGGGTTTATTACGAATCAACTTAACGGCCTGCTCCCAGTTGGCTTGTTAGCTCAATTGGTAGAGCGCTGCACTAGTATTGCAGAGGTCAGTGGTTCGAATCCCGTACAGGCCTGAATTTTTTCAGGTCTGATTTTCGCTATTGCATAAATAGCGTTGTCTACTGCGAGGATCATGCATGATATGATTCTATCTTTTATAAATAAAGTGGCTAAGATTAACAAAATTCTTTGCTGTCATTGGCCACAGTAGTCTACCTGGACCATTTCTTTTGCAAATTGCAACAAGCGATGACTAAGAGTGACTAGCATCTAATTTCTCAGGGCTTGAAATTAAAAAAAATTCTGATCGCAATTTGCAAGTAATTCCTAAAAATTTAATCGCAAGTTTGAAAATTTTAGTCACAAAGTAACCTACTTCTACCAGAACCGGAAATTAGAAATGAAGATTTCCTAGAAATTTCATGAGTGTTTGATGAGGTGGTTTCTGAAAAAGTGCACCGCAATACATTTCTCAGCAAGAAATCAATGATAAAAGTCATGCAACATTTAACTTGAATTTTGCAGGATTTTTCAAATAAAACTACAGCAACCAGTAACAAGTAAGACACAAGGCTGTTAAATATAATTTATTTATATGCTAGGCTTCAAAACAGTGGCAAAATTGCTACCAATGGAGAGATTTTAGTCACAAAAGTGAAATCTTTATTTGCAAAGGTGCCTGACACAGGCCCAATTTGAAGCCCTAATTTCTCCTTACAATATCACCCCTGAATCACACATTAAGGTCATGAGAATTATGAAAATGATCAACAACTACAGAAACTCTTGATTGATAAGAAAATTCTCCTTGTCAAAATGCTAGGAAATGAATAGAGAACAGTATGGAGAATATGCATACTGATTAGTTAGGCAGTAATAATTAGTGGGTTAATAATTTTTCTGGCAGCTTTTTTTTCCCCTTTGACTTAACCTTTTCCTTCCCAAGTTCTCACTAGTAAATATCCATTATTAGTATATACTAAAACAGTGGATAGCGTTAGAGGTGCGCTCTGATTGGCTAGTCAAACTCCCAATATCCTTTGCTATTTACCTTCGAGCAACTTAGGAAAAAATGGCATCCCGGTTTGCTTCCACGACAAGCGAAAAAATCACTCAAATTAATTACGGTGGTGTATATTGTCTCACTGTTTTAGTATACTAAAACAACTATTCACCTCAGTGTCGGTGGTTAGTAGTGGATATTTACCTCGCCGCTTCATGGCTCGATAAATATCCATCACCAACCACCTCCACCTTGGTGAATAGTTGTTAATTAACCAAGTGTGAAGTCAAGGTGGCTGGATATTGACCAAATTCTTTTTTTTTGTATTTTTATGAACTGAGATGAAGTTGAGGTCCATAAAAATGTGAATAAAAGAAAGAGGCTAATATACAGCCATCTTGACCGAACAAGCTTGATCAATAAAGGATTTATTACATTGCAAAAAGATTTTGCTTTATTAAGAATTAAGAATGACTCTTTTGCTTCGAGAGCCAAGAAAGAAAGCCAACTGTGATTGTAGCACAACAAACTCACAAAGGTCATTTCTGTTTTCTTTGTTTTGACTATCTTCTGCCACTTTTTGCTTATCCATCACTGAAATTGTCCAAGAATTATGAATGTAGATCTAATTCAATTTTTTCCATGTGTGGAATCAATGCGGGCAATCCCTAGTGGGCAAGATGGGCCCATCTTGCCCACTTAGTTAGCCAATCAGAACACAGGATTTGCTTCATCTGCCCACGGGCACTGTGAGTGATGTAATAAATCCCCTTACTGTCTGCCATACAAGTGTTATGATGTTAGTTTGGAGAATTTGCTACTGGATCAACTGATAATCTCCTTGTATATATTTTTCTTCACTCTCATCACTTGTCTGCTTAGCTACGGTATGCATCAACATTGTGAGGACAAATTCTGCCTTGGTCACTTATGGGAGTTCAATGGTTAATGTTATGAAAAAAGGAAGTTGGTTAACAAATATGTCTTAGTAGACGTTTTGTTGTGTAGTATCGCTGAGTATTTTTACGAGTTGTGCCGTATTTTGAAGAGCCCGTAGGGCGAGTCAAATACAAATAACGAGTAAAAATACTCAGCGATACTACACAACAAAATGTCTAATAAGTTATTTATTATCCAACACGTCAAACTGTTATTTCAGTGAGGGCGAATTTCGTGGATATTTATTTACGGGGAGTGCGTGACAGAAGTATGCGAAGCTGAAAAGAATTGGCACATTGTGGTGTTGCTGCTTCTATTTTCTTCAAGAAATGAAGAAATTTCCAGGTCATCTAGCTGTTTTTCTTCGTTCGATTCATCTAATAAACTTGGATGTACATTTGCCAATCATTCTGACTCTTCGTCGTCAGAAATATGATTCAAATTGTCCACCATTTTTTTTCATAACTACAATTCAACTCTTCGCTTGCACGATGCGAGAAAACCTGTTTAGCTGGCACTCTAGAGTACAAACACCGTGTGATATTTGTACTAGTCTATGGCGTCATTTGTATTCATCTATGGCCTCATTTGTACTCTATGAAGTGTAGTTGGATAATAAGTCAGACTGAATTAAGACATGGACAATAAATCAAATGCAAAATGCAAAGCCCACTAACCATGCTAATTCCTGGGAGGTTGAGTATATTCCCAATGACAGGTACTCTTCTTAAAAAGTTAATAACAACTGGAAAGAAGCCACTGAGAATAACAACAGAAATTACTTCAGTGATAATCAGACCAAAAGATTTTAACAGGCATTCCCATCCTTTTCTTCCTCTGACAAAAATTTCAACTGACAGGTTCAAATATAAGTCTGTGGCAAGTTACAAGTAAATCAAAAACCCCTTATTGATTTTAAGAAATGAGCCTGGCACAGCATTTTCTCCCCAAGGAGAGAATCCTTCCCCTAAGGAAGATTTAAGACTGAACTAGAAGAAAGAATAGAAATCGAGCTTGTGCAATTCATACTATAGAACTTTACTCTGTAAATGTGTACTTCTTATTAACCCAGTTTGAGGTCCACATTTGAAGTTATGGACCTAGAAAACGAGATTCCTGAGATGTTTGTCATATCTCTGGCTTTAGATGGAGGAGGAGAATTTCATTTCAATCAGATTTTTTAATTCAGTTGGCTGTACAGTGAAACATGGCCCCTAAATTGACCAATTATAGCACACATACCAGCTGGGAGATAAAATAAGGATTCTTGAGAAAGGTGATTGCTTACAAATCACAACATCAAAACAAAACTAAATCATTTTTTTTGAGTAATGCCCTGTTTTGAGCTTCATTTCAAAATCTAACACCACAATGTATCTGCAAAAAACCAACTTGGTTGCATGTCTTTTTTATTCTTTAATTTCAGAGCATCAAAAGTGACCATGAAAACCAAATGTTTACAGTTGTGATATTGCTTAAATGTCTGGTCAATTCATTGACCAAGTTTGGTCAGGCCAGATTGGAAAAAATTTGGCTTTGGACCTCACTGTGCTTACTGGTACTCCTGGTACTCATAACTTGCACCCAAATATTTTTGCGACCAGCCCTCTCACTAATTCAATACAGACATTCTTAAATAATTAAACCTCAACTTACCTAAACAAAAGGACAAATCCATATATTTCTATAATCATTCCTATAAGAGGCCAACCAATAAGAACAACTAACACTCCACCAAGAAAACAAGAGCTTCCCTTGAGCTTGTGTTTTTGAAAGAAAAATCTAAAAGTTCTCTCTAATCCAATTACCAATGCTAATCCAGAAATGAATAATATCTGTGATAGAAAATAACAAGAAAAAAAAAATTAAACTGGAACAGCAATACTGAGTACCAGGGCTAAACACTAGCTTTTCACCTTACTAGCGAAGTGGCTAGTGACAACTTAAATGTTACAACAATTTCAGTTTGTTTACTAGCCAAACTGGCTGGTGGAAATTGAAAACCACTGGCCAAAACTGAATTTCTTCTAGTCTGTGGCTAGTTGGCTACCAGTGTCGAGCCCTTCACTCGAGCTCTCTGATCCCATTAGAGTGTCTTAGCATCTAATATCTCTACACAATATCAACCATGAATCACACATTAGGGTTATGAGAATAAAGGAAATGATCACCAACTAAAAGAGTTCTTGCCTGTTCAACAAATTTGGAAAGATTTCCGTATAACCCCATACCAATCAAAAACAATGCTGAAGTACTAGTCCCAAAGACAATCTGTTGTTTTGCCTCTGTTTTCTTTTTTCCAAGAATTGCATGCATAATGAAGTATAGGGTTATATGGAAATCTTACCATAAATTCCCCTTCTCAGCACCTTACGAAATGTACAGAGAACGGTATGGAGAATATGCACGCTGATGTTACGTTGTAAAGGGTTAAAAGGGCAAACGCTTATCAGCTACAGAGAAATTTATCTGGTCTAGCTATTTATGTGTGTCTATGGTTTCACACCAATGAATTCCTGATCAATGAATGGGCACCTGGCAATTAGATTAAAAGTAATTGAAAATTATCTATTAAGATTACATTCTGAACTGTTGAACTATATCCACAGACGTTTGTCCGTAATACTACAAATGACAAGGGCCAATTTTCATCATGAACAAGTTAATCACTGTTAGAAATACAATGTAAGAGATCTAGGCTCTCGAATTTTCACGATACTCGAAAAATCTAAGCATGAACGTATAAGATACTTACATTTCCAATAGCTAAGAGACCTTTGTCGAAAAAGAACAAAACTCCCAGAAAGAGAAAAAATACTCCAAAACCTGTCACACCGATGCCGATTTCTAAGAATCAAAATTCAAATGGAAAAAAAATTAAAGAAACAAAACCGAAATAAACCATTTAATGAAGAAGGGGTTCCTACTTTGATAATCTGTAATCGGTAACATTTTCCAAGGTTTTTCTTTAAGTTTTGCTACCTCTCTTTACAATAGTTCATTTATGACTTTGACCAGAAGGCCACGTTGTGTTTTCCACAACGCATGCCTCATTCTAACCGCTGGCCACATAAACTGCACAGTCAGCAGTTCATAGTTCACGAAGAAAAATATAAAGGATACTGACATGCAACGTCACGTTAACATTTCCCTTTGACAGTGAGGTATACGTTTGTGTTGGCGGGAAACCTCATTTGTTTTACAGAAGCAAATCGGCTAAAAAATCTATTCTGATCTCGATTCACAACGATCAGACAGTATGCAGTTATGCCTGGCAAAGGCAAATTTCACGGAGAATTGTTCTCGATGAACATTTCTCACATACCACCGGCATATTTCGCCGAGTCCATTCAAGGACTTGGTTTTTACGTGGGAGGTGAATTGTGGCGTCCTGTTTGTTTTCTGAAAGAATTTTTTAGCGGTGTTTGTTGAACACTAAGAAACGAAGCAAGTTTCGTTCATCGGTTTCAAATTCGATCAGTAGAAACAGAAGGGAAAGCAATCGTTCTCGTGGTACGGGTGACGATCGATTGTGAAATCTCGTGAACCATGCGGAGAACAGGAAAAGCCAATGTCTTAACTGCTTTGATCGATCGGGAAACGAACTGTCGAGGAACTCACGACCACAATTTGTTAACATCGTACGCCGAAGATGCCTCTGTGATGTCCTGTAATCAAACGAAGGTACGTACCATTTAGTTCTTGTCATTTCACCGGTCAATGTTTGTAGACTGGTGTTACTGTTGTTGTTTTCATGCGGATTTTCAAGTTTCCTTGAGGATTGTGTGACCTTTTTGAACTAAAATTAATCGCTTTAAGATAAATCGTAATATCAGTTTATTTCGATCGAGGGAAGGGGTTTTTCTGTATATTTTTATCATAAACCGTAATTTTACTAAATTTTCTTGGGTTTTTCGTCGATTTCCCACACAATGACGACATTTGTGTGCCTCACCTGCATGCAATAAGACAAACTTCATCCGGTTTGCTATCTTCGTTTCACGCCATGAAGTGGGTGTCAAAGAAAGCATATGTTTCCTTCAGTTTAGTTTCCTACTCGACGATATGTCTACTTTTCATTTAAACTTCCTAACCCAGGGCCATTGTTTACCTCGCAATCGCCTGTGTTTTTTCAATGTCAAGTTCATATTGACGTGCCATTAGTCTTTCCTATCGCCCTAAGTTCATGGTCAAAATCTGCTTTGTTTTTTGTTCCCATATGGACAACAGTCTTTTATTTAAATATATTTCCCACACGCTAGTAAGTGGGTATCTTTCATGATCTCTATACTTTCGAAGACAGAGCAGACTTGTACTGAAACTTGAATTTTTTTTATTCGTGCACTTATTACGTAGGGAACTCATTACGTAGTGACCTTGACAAAGAAGACAGAAAAAAACAATAGTAGTTTGGTCTTTGTTTTGTCGAAAGACTATTCATCTGTCATTCAGTATTCTGAATCTTCCGATTTGTAACGTGGTTGGTGGAAATTCCCATGAAGCTCTCGAAAACACAAGTAGATTTGTCTTGACCTTCGCGTTGAGGCGACCAACCCCGATGTACTTCCGGTTTTATAGGCGTCGATTGTGTTTAAAGGTATTCGCATCAATCAAAAGCGGTCTCATTTTTAACCATAATTTTAAATGAAACTTTGTTGCCCAGATATTGTTTCCTGAATCAAGGTGTGGTTGACCTTGCTCGTTTTTGTCAAAGCAACCATTCATACACCCTTGATAAGACAGGAAATTATATTTACTAGTATTAAACTTGTTAGCATGTGGCGTGATTCACTACAAAACATGAACACGGACGAAACTTGCACAATTTTTTGAAGCTGTTTTTCTCGTATTTTGAGTTTTATTTGTTGTACACAGATAAATCATGAGATCGCTTCTCAATTAAAACTGAAAACCATTCGATTGAAAGACGAAGCCCAGACAATAATGGAAAAAAAATGCTTAAATTAATAAATTAATAAAATTAATGTTCAATGATATTGCGGGATATGTCTTCCAAATTGATATGTTTTTCAGATAATTTTTCCTTTGACATTGGCAGTGGCAATGGCCTTGAACTTGGACATCTTGTGTTTAACCCAAATATAATCATAGGTGATAATTCTTTTTGTGACATTAAACTTGGCTTTCAATCATTTTTGCTAAACATGAATTAAAGATAAACCAAGAGTGAAATTCTTAGAGTTACAGTATAATTATGTGAAGCTCACATCCAACCAGTGATCTCTTTACCATGATTTGTGTTTCTTTTTTTTTTTTATTTATTGGTTTTTATTTTATCTCCCCTTAAAAAGATGCAACATGCACTAATGAAAACATTTGAAGTAACAAAGTCAGGTTTGAAAATTAATTTTGGCTACAAAGTCTTCTGGATAGTTCTGTTTACATTTGATAAGGGAAATAACATGTGAGGAAGTATTGCAAGTACAATTGTCCTAATCTTGCTTAGATTTTCGAGGTGAAATTTCAAATAAGTGTTTGGGAACCTATGTGCAATGTAACATTTTACTTGGAATATACTGAATAGACAATATGGACTTTCTATCTTTGGCACAAGACCAGTTTCTTACATCAACAAGCAGGCTATCATTAAAATAATCCTACAGTATTTTTTTGTATTGATAAAATTAAAGGTGACTTACACATGAACAAAAGATATACTATAAGAGATGAATAGCATGCATATTTCACATGACAGACTCTCCATCATAATTTTTTTCATTGTAAGTCTGTACTAGTCTTGAAATTAATTTTTCATGAAAAGCACATGATATTTTGTCATTTTGATTGCTTTTACACCAGAATGATTCAATTAAAAATATTGTTATCTCAAGAACTTTGGATGATATAGATTTAATATGATTTATAGCAGTGTCCTGTTGTCTTGACTTCCTATCCAAACTAGTTAAACCGGTTTGACTGCTAAGCTCCAAAAGTTTGATTTCAAACTAAAAATTTTACATTCCTTGCTTAGTTAGACTTTGAGATATCCATGTGTATGTCAGACAAGTGTATTTATTTGATTTTTTATTTTAATTTCGGGAAACTAAACTGGAATATTTAACCCAAAGAACAATATATTGATAAAAGTCAATTCTTGGAGTAGCTCTGCTTACCTTAATTTTCAGTCTGAAGATTTAAATACAAACTTAACATTTGCAAATCAAAATTTTCGTTTTTTCACATGCCAAGTTGAAGCTGTGAGAGAGTGTGAATGCATTCCACTAATCTGAGCACTCAGAAATTAGGGACTTGTCTCAAATCATTGATTTTTGACCAATTTCTGTTCATATTTCTAGGAGTTATCTGACTTTTGTAGTAAATATAATTCTCTGACAGAGAGAGACCAATGTTCAAAAACTTGCTATGAAAGACACTTAGTGTTTTCAGTTAAATCCCTTCAGGTGGTTGTATATTCTCAGACCACCTTAGAACCTGTGAAACTACCTTGAAGGTACAAAATGTACATATAATGATATTGTACCAAAAGGAAGATTTTGAAAGTAAGCTAGTCTTGTTGCGCAATGTAAATTCTTTCAATTTCATATATTCTTCATCCACCTTGGATAGTTCTGTTTTGTTCTAGAAAATACAGAAACACTTCTCTAGAAACAATATTTTGATTTTTTTTTTCAGCTTAAACTACTTGACACAAGTTCTCATGTTTTCCTACCCTAAAAAAAGGCCTCTCTGTGCATGATATCCAGCTCTTGTCATTGTTTAGTATTAAAACGAGACAACATGCTTCATACCATTCTATTTTGGTTGCCAGTGAAACAAAGAATGTAAATCCCTTTTTATTTCTCATCTGCCACCTGCAGCCATGTCTAAAATAAGGAATCCATCATCCACATTATTTTGGACGTAACAATAGTTTTAGCTCAGTGACATGCATAATCAGACAAGTTAAATTTAGCATTTGGTTTTGTTCCTAAATTTTGCTAAAACTTATCAGCAGCAAGGAAAAAGCCACCTTTGTCATACGACCAAAGGTGGGACATGAATGTTTTATAACTTCCTACAGGGGGTAATTTTTTTTGGGTGGCGTGATGAATAAATTTTACCAACGATATAAATAACACTATATGGCTACGTCTATACATGGTTTGCGTATTTTAGTCTAAGAATGTGCACATTCAATATAATTTAATGTCCCAAATTCCCTTGAATTTACCAGTTGCAATATATTTCTATTGTGGTCATGATAAATTGACTAAAATTAGTATCAACATACATATAAAAGGTTTTTACAGGGGTATCTTTAATTAAGATGCAAAATTGTGTTGATGTGAGTTAAGTTATAGTCAATTTAATCTCATTAGTTGTGCTTCACTCATCAGAATATGTTCCTCTGGGCTAGGATTTAAAAATACTTTGTTATGCTATTTTTGGATAAATTTGTTATGTTCAACCGCTCTGAGGAGTTTTTTACCTTACGGTACATGAAAGAAAAAATCAATTTCTTTAACTTTCCTGTTTCAAATTATGTCGAATTGATTTTAATGAGATTTAAAGTGATTGAAGAGAAATGATTGGGTAATCATGTGGGCAGTTTGGCTTCTTGTCAAGAATCAGAAAACAAAGGGATTAACTTTTATGTAATAATTTACACTACTTGACAAGTGAAAATCTGGCATATGTTCAAATTATGCTTAAACCGACTTCCTTTCACGTGATGTTATTGAACAGCAAGAGGAAATTTGCCCACATTCACATAAACTCATTAAATCCCTTTGTAAAGAAAAGGTTTGGCTAGTATTGCATTGCCAAAGTATATTTTCCCTGTGTTCTTGTGTGAAAATACATAGTTTTCATGTAATTAAAATAATGCCATCCTAATGAGACAGAAATAGGTAGTGAGGCAAAATAAATGCTACATTGTTTCTGTTTCATAATTCAAGGTATTGTCGCCAGTTTGTCTGAGTGCAATTGAAGGTGCTGTTAAGGTGTCATAGTGCCATCTGCTTGTGATATTGATCAATGTCTACATGTACATGAATAAATATGAGTTCAAATGAAGTGTGAAGTGTCACAAATAAAAAAAGCTGCCTTTGATATTTGTTCCTTTTTAAAGAATAAAGGATCAGCTAACAGTGTATATAGTACATTTGAAGTGCCAGTATATTGCATTTATTTTCGCACATCTACTAATGTGATTCATAATGACAGCAAGAGCAGTATTGGTACAATGTAATTACAGTTTGGAATAGAACTAATAGTTAATTTAGAATGCTAAACATCCACTGGAACCTGCATGTATGAAAGTCCAAAAGTCGGAGCTTTCAAGTCTCATGAAGTGAGCACGAGACTCAGACAAATTCAGTCTTACTCTCTCAGCCTAAAACTATCATTTCTCATGCATTTAAGGTTTCTGATTAAACTGTTGATTTTGAAATATCAAACTAATTCTTTAGTTAAGTTCCTACATGTATGAAATTAATTATTATTCTTAATATGATCTACTCCCTGTTCCCTTTGTGCCTGCTTTGAACACCCACCAACAGAGGAAATTCTATTGCACAGTAACACAGACACTCTTCACACATGCACAGAACAGAGGAATACACGTCTTAGCTACACATACACTTCAATTTTTCACAATTTTCTAGGGTGCAGTATGCCCCCACAACATCTCCCTCCCCAGGGAGGTGAAGTATTAAAATCGAAAGCTTAGCATTCCAAAATCTCACTACAGTGGAACCGTGATATAATGATATGCCAAGGGAGCAGTGGAATTGGATCGTTGTATCGAGTTATCGTTATCTCTAGACGGGGTTCTGTCCCATACATTTTACTGTAACTTCTGCTGGGACTTAGCGTATTTATCATTGTACCAGGAATATCGTTATATCATTGATCGTTGCATCGAGGTTCCACTGTATATGGCAGAACATCACCTTGATCGATCTTAACCCTTTTACGCTCAAGGTCTCATTTGTAATTCTCCTTGCTGTCTGCCATGCAATTCTTATGATGTTAGTTTGGAGAATTTGTCATTGGATTAATTACACTATCCCCTGATTTATATTTTGCTTAATTCTCATCACTTGATGTTATAATTATTGTTATTGTGAGGAGAAATTCTGTCTTGGTCAAAAAGATGGGAGTTAAAGGGAAGTAACTTGGTTTTTAAATGAGAAAGACAACACTCTAGAAATCCTCAAATTTTTTGTTTTCAGCCATTTTGAGGCATGTATATAATTATATAAAGTTCTGACACTGAGTGCCTTTTGAGATTTCAAAGAATGATCTAACCTAAGAAAAAAAAGAGTACATTTAAGTTATGAAATTGAATAATCGGAAAAAAGGAGAGCATTTGCTGAACAGATTTAAATTTTGCTAGGATATGTTTGATAATTGACAAAGTTTACTACATGTATTTTTTTTTTTTTTACAGGAATGTGAGCTGCCAGGATCACCAAGGTCAACCTTTCTTGTCTGCTTCAGCCCTGACAAGTAAGTTTTATTTTCAGTTCTTAGCATTATCATTGTTGTTATCCTCTCTGAATAAGAAAGATGGTGAGGTTTGAGCTTGGTGAAGAAATAGGGAAAGATGCTTTTTTTGTCTCTTCACGAGGGAGAGAGAAAGAAAAAATTGTGAGTCCCCAGGAGGAATCAAACCTAAGACCTTCAGATTCCATAGTGCGATGCTCTGTCACTGAGCCACTGAGACTCCATAGTAAGCAAGACCCATATATTACATGTGTCCTGCATTTTCTATTTCTTTACCGAGCTCATAACTCACCATCTTTCTTATTCTATTTAAATCCTGAAATCCTGACAATGAAAGGGTTTAGGGAGAAATTTGGAGTCCTGGTAGAATCAATCTGAGTCCTGGGAAAGTCCTGGAAAAATCCTTGAAATATGTTTCTGAAAAAGAGTATGAACCCTGGGGTCCAAGGGAAGGAAAAATGAAATGACTCTGCTCGATTGAACAGCCTCCCTGTGTTTCCACCCCCCCCCCCTTAATTTCCATTGCAATAAACTTTTTAGTCTAAAACGTGATTTCTATGTGCATTTTGTAACCAGGGCTTTCAATAAGACCTGGTACCTGGTGGGTATTCTGTTGTGAGTCACTGGGTGTATTTCACTGTGCTCAAGTCACACTCAAGTCACTCTCTGGTGGGTGCTGTACTGAGGTTGCCGCCTATTTCAAATCTTGTTGAAAGCACCGCATAACATTAATTAGTATATATTAAAACAGTGGATAGCATTGAAGGCGTGTTCTGATTGGCTAGTCAAACTCCGAATATCCTTCGCTATTTACCTCCAAGCAACTCAGGAAAAAAATGGCATTCCGGTTTGCATCCGTGACAAGCAAAAAAATCACTCAAATTAACGACAAACCAGTCTCTGAAAACACAAAGAAAGCGACTAAATTTGGTTTGGCTGTGTTTAAAGGTAATGGTTTAAGTTTTTAACCCGGAGTTTATTGATAAAAACCAAGGAGAAAGGTTTTGTTTACAAATGCAAATTAATCTTACGTAACCACGCGCGTGAAAATGTTGGAATTGTTGCTTGAATGTATGAATTAAAATCAATTTTTGGTGGTGCATATTATCTCACTGTTTTAGTATATACAAAAACAACTATTCACCTCAGTGTTGATGGTTAGCAGTGGATATTTACCTTGCCGCTTCGCGGCTTGGTATATATCCACCACTAACCACCTCCACTTCAGTGAATAGTTGTTAACTATTTCATGTTGTTTGGGTACAAAACAACAAACAAACAAATACACTGTACTACAGTCATGAACAAGCAGTAGAAAAGTTGCATGAAGATAGAGGTTGTTCATAAGTCCCCATTCTCTCATTAAGCCCTGTCTGCATGGGAGATTGACTTGCAGAGATGTTGGGGTTTATCTTGGTTCCATTCAGTTACAACTACATATAACTCTCTTGGACGAGAAGATTTTCCTTCGTGGTTTGTCCCCCAGCATTTCATTTCTCTTTTGTATGTTATTAAACCTTACAGCTATGAGAATAAAGAAAGTCCTTAGCATGAGGTCAAGAAGCTCTTGATCATTAAGTTAATTCTCCCAGTAGGTGCAATAGGAAACATTAAGAACCTGCAAACTGATGTTCAAGGAGGTGGGGGGTGGGGGGGGATTATACTTATGCCCCTGTCCACACCTTTTTATCTGAGTTCAACACAGTAACCGTCAATCCACTGCATTTTGTACTTTCCAGTGTAAGTTAAGATTTTAATTTGTGCTGGTAATGATTGTATTATAGGACCAAAATGGCATCTTCCCATGGAGATCACACTGTGCGTATAGTGGACTGTAAGACATTTAAATGCATGAATACTCTCAGAGGTCATCCTCGCACACCCTGGTGCATTGTGTTCCACCCGTCATCCAATGAGCTGTTGGCTTCAGGTTGTCTTGGAGGAGAAGTCAGAGTTTGGAATTTAAAGGTGGAGTAACATTTGTGTTGAGTTTATAACAGGGGAAGTATAGGGGGGGATAATAATTTATGGTGGATAGTGTGTGTAAAATGTCAGTACCTACAGACCAAACTGCAGTTGATCTGAAATCACGTAGTTTCCTTGGAAAAATTACTCTGGAGAGTCTGTTACTTGTTGACGAGTCTGTATTATTGTGGGAAAGAAGGGTGAGTGAGAAAGGTTTGTATTATTGTGGGAAAGAAGAATGAGGGGAGGTGGGAGGGGAGAATTTTGTGTACACTCTTAGATGCTTGTCATTTTGGTGCTCAATTTCTACATACTCTTAAAATTCTTGTCAATGCAGTTGCCTCCTTTAAATTTATTTTGGGGGTATGCTGTGCATGGAAACAAAATGCATCTCAGTTTAAATAAATTTTAAAAGCTGGAGGTGCAACCCAAAGAGAGTAACTATGTAAAACATCATGATTATGTAACACAAAATGTTGGTGCTTTGAAAAGTTTTGACTTGACCCTTTTGCTCCCATGATCTCTTTAGTAATTCTCCCTACTGTCTGCTATACAATTTATATGAAGTAAGTTCAGAGAATTTAATATTAGATCAACTAATAATCCTCTAATTGATATTTTTTTCGTGTCTTGGTCACTCATGGGAGTTTTAAGGGATAACATCGCTCAGTGTAAACTTGCACCGAGGCAATTACAGGAAGAAAAATATCTAAGAACATCCTTTTTTTGCTTCCCCATTTGACCCTAAAGAGTGACTATCACTGTTACTGTAATTTCCGGCCGTTTGCCTGCTGGTAATCTGTTGATTTTGCCTTAAACATGCACCACTGTGGGTAATAGGGAGGTGCACATTATGTGACAGTTTTGAAATGTACTGGCAGTTGAATTGAAGAAAATTCTCACCTACCTGTGTTTCTACCTCTCAGATGAATTTTATTGTATTAAGAGTGCCACAAAGCGGCACGAAAACATGATGCTGACTCGATTTATTTCGCGCGCAACTAGTTGCATGACAAACAAATTACTATTGGCACACGCATAAACAAAACCTTGATGGTGACAAAAATAAACTGGGGATAACTAGCGTATCTGTAAAAAATTTCCAGTTAGCACTAGCTTCAGCTGAAGAGAATTGTCCCGTTTTAAGGGACTTGTTAGGCCCAGTAGAACTGGAGATATTGATTTTTTTGAGAAATCAACAAATCAACATCGCACAAAATGTGGCCATGAATTCGCATTCTGTCAATTATGCAATGTTGTGAGTTCTAGAGCATAGTTGTACAAATTTCCTTTTAAGTTGCGGGTTATCCACCAGTATGGGTAATCTGTTGACTTTTTTTTTCACTGCATGCAATAATCGGCCAGTGCGGGTAATCGGCCGTGTGGGTAAACGGCCGGAAATTACAGTAGTCACCTAATTTCTCCTTACAATATCAGCCATGAAGGTTATAACATGAAGGTTATAAGAATACAGGAAATGATCACCAACTGAAAAAGCTCTGGGCTGGGTTGTTCAAAGGTGGTTTAAGATAACCCAGGGTTAGTGTGAAATTTAATTGCAGATCTGAAAGCTTTAAAATTAAACTCACTTTAATTCCATTCGTTAACAATTTGGTGATTGAATGCTCCAAGAAGAATTGGGAAAATTATATTAAAACGGCTTTTGAACAGAGAAATATAGAAACCTGGACTAAAATTTAACCCTGGGTTAGCACTAATTGGTCTTCGAACAACTGGGCCCTGATTGTTAAACAAATTCTCCTTGTCAGCACCTTAGGAAATGTATTGAGAACAGTATGGAGAATATGCATACTGATGTTTGGGTGAAAAGGGTTAATGATCCTTTTTTGTGAGTGAGTTATGTGACTATTCCCTTCAATGTTAAATCATTATTCATCCATGTTAATATATTTCTGTTAAGACTGGAGATAGTGAAGTGTACACACCTCCTGACAGAGCTGTTATTGCCTCGCTTGCTTTCCACCCTATGGACCATGTGTTGCTGATCGCAACCAGCAACAAGCTTCTCTTGTGGAGCTGGGATCAACCTGAGCCATTTGCTTGTGTACAGACTGCTTCAGCTGAAGAAAAAGTCAGGTATGATGGAACCTAAATTTTTTTCATGTTGTTGAATCTCAGTTTCAAAGAACAAATTCAATTCCTTGTGTTTGCTGTACCAAAATAGAATGTCTAGGGTTTTAATTAAGAAGTGAAAAAAAATAAAATGATGTGAAGCATGTAACAAGTAAGAGGTCTATGTATGCAAAGGATTTGGAATGTGTGCCAGTTGTGTTGTTGTAATTTGATGGTTTACTCCTCAAGCTACATCAAAAGCTGGTTAGCGGCAATGTATTGGCACCTAAAACACTTCATAATGTCATCTGTTTTGCTTGCAAAAGGGCTCAAATAATTATTTGGGTTTTGCCATGTATCCTTTGGGGCACAGTCACCTGTTATACAGTTGTCAACCCTTTATTGACATACTGATTTAACGCTTTGACTCCCACGAGTGACCACGACAGAATTTCTCCTTACAATATCAATACAATATCAAGCAGACCAGTGATGAGAAATATAAAGACAAATAATCAATTAGGATTTTAGTTGATCCAATACCAAATTCTCCAAACTTAACATCATAAGACTTGTATAGCAGACATTAAGGAGAACTATTAATGAAATCTTTGGAGAGAAAGGGTTAAACCCCTGCAAACTCATACAAGTTGGCCATGTACTAGTTTTTGGCAGTGACAATTGTTCTGGTTACTATTACTTATTATTATTATTTATTATTATTATTATTTATTATTATTATTATTATTATTATTGTTATTATTATTTGGTTACTATTACTGTAAGATCAGCCAAGTCAATGTCAAGCGGGGATAGAAAAATGGTGGGAGAAAGATCAGGCCCTGGTTGTTCGAAGGATTGATAACGCTATCCAGTGGATAAATCCCTATCCGGTGGATGGCGCAGTATATTTTGGTAACACTTATCTGCTGGATAGTGATTTATCCGTTGGGTAGCGCTGTCCGCCCTTTCAACAACCGGAGCCAGGCCTGTGGTCTTGCAGCACCCAGTGGCCCATGGTGTCTTACTTTTGCTTATAGGCAACTCAGGAATCTTAGTTTTTTTAATAAAAAGCATTTGCTGGGCACTCTGGATTTCACAGTTTCTGAGCCCTGGGCTCCGTTCAATTTTTCTTAGAGCACAGCCTTGAAGATTATAAATTTTTAGTACATGAAGAAGGAAACATTGGGGTCACCCATACAGAAAGTGGAATGTTTTAAAAAATCCCATGTGCGCTGTAGGTGGTATCCAATGATTGGAAGCTGGGAAAGAAATTAATTTCATGGCTCATACTAAGGACTTTAGAATAATTACAGTAGAGTATTAATTGGCTAAATTTTTTCAGATTGGTGGAATTTTCACCTCTTGGAGACCATATTCTTACTGCAGTTACAAATATACCCCAACCAGTAAGTAAATCATTACATTTTCTGAATTAAGGGAAAAAAAGCTTTTTTTTTAAAATTTGAATGGCAAGCTGTTGACTACTGTGTAGAGTTTATCTTTAGGTTAGGGTCCCAGGTGATGTAAAAATGTGTCCAGAACAAATACTAGGGTGTCACTCATATCCTTAATACGTTTCGACATGATTTGTGATCATCAACTGAACAGGCACTCAGCAGAATTTTGGTGTGACCTTATTCTTGCTTGGAAACAGTTCTTGCTCACCTAATTTGCGGCCTTCTCTTCAACTTTTGATCTAAGAGTGACTGGCATCTAGTTTCTCTTTAAATTTCACCCTTGAATCTAAAAGTAAGATCACGAGAATAAAGGAAATGATCACCTCTTGATTGTTAAACAAATTCACCTTGTCAGCACCTTAGAAAATCTATAGTGAACAGTATGGAGAATATACATACTGATTTTACGTTGTAAAGGTTTGCCTCATGATGTAAGGGTCACGCTAATCAATTGTGTTTTGATCGCGACGTTTTGACTGATACAGTCCCAGTCTTCATCTGGCAACGCGGCGGAAAGTTTAGGTGTCGCTATTTGTTCCACCTTGGTTTGTGGTTTGTTTGACAGAATATAGAAATTTTTCTTTCACTCTGATGTCAATTGTGTGTCTTGACTGAGTAAAGGCTTAACATTTTTTTTCCGATCATTTTTTTGTCCTACAGGCTAGTAACTCTGGAACAATTCCAACTAGGTGAGAATGTTTTAGAATTAGTTAAATTATTGCTGAAGAAATTTCATTGCAATCTTTTTTTTTTTTTAACCATT